TAAAAGGCTGGTCAATACTTTTATATAATGTACAGTTTGGTGTAAAAGGCTGGTCAATACTTTTATATAATGTACAGTTTGGTATAAAAGGCTGGTCAATACTTTTATATAATGTACAGTTTGGTGTAAAAGGCTGGTCAATACTTTTATATAATGTACAGTTTGGTGTAAAAGGCTGGTCAATACTTTTATATAATGTACAGTTTGGTATAAATGGTATTAACATTCACAGGTTGAGTTGTGGATAATTACATTTAAGTACTAGCTCCTAATGATAGATTCAAACTAGGATAAGAGGATTATACTTTTATGCTACTAAATATCTCAAATAATGGATCAACTCAAAACATATCAAATAACATATTTCCAGTGAAGCCTGTGTATGCATGTACTGGATAGTATTAGCCTAGCTTACATGTACACGTCACGTATACCACAGCCTTGTTTTCATCCTTGACATGCAAATCATACATGCTGTACTTGTAAGTAAAAATATCACAACATATGATTTGTTGAATAATTACGTCTTGGTTAAACTTCAATTAAACAAGAAGGTATAGCTGCTTATTCAGTATGAATAGTCTTATTCTAAGGTGAGATATTTGTATGCCCCTGCCATAAAATGGGGGGGTATATAGTGTTACCCATGTCCGTCCCATCGCGTCCCGTCCCGTCCTGTCCTGTCCCGTCCCGATTCAATGTAAACACTTTCATTCTTTGACAGATTTTGGTCAAACTTTATACAAAGGTCAAGTATGGGTATACTTCGGACATTGTTGTGTTTCAGGGTTCCAAGGTCAAGGCCAAGGTCACTGTTGCTATATATAGAAAATCATCAACTGATTCAATTTAAACACTTAGCAACTTCATTCATTCATGCATTTTGGTCAAACTTTATACAAAGGTCAAGTATGAGTATACTTCGGACATTGTTGTGTTTCAGGGTTCCAAGGTCAAGGCCAAGGTCACTGTTGCTATATATAGAAAATCATCAACTGATTCAATTTAAACACTTAGCAACTTCATTCATTCATGCATTTTGGTCAAACTTTATACAAAGGTCAAGTATGAGTATACTTCGGACATTGTTGTGTTTCAGGGTTCCAAGGTCAAGGCCAAGGTCACTGTTGCTATATATAGAAAATCATCTACTGATTCAATTTAAACACTTAGCAACTTCATTCAATATGTTATGGAGATGGTAATAACATACAGAAAAAACATATGAATATTAAAATCAACTTTAAGTGTAGTACCTTGTGTGTGTGCATGTTTCAGGGTATCAAGATCAAAGTGGTTGTAACTTTTTATAGAACACTGAAACTAATTTCACATGGCAGCGGGGGCATTTATGTCTTACAGACATTTTCTAGTTTCCTCATGAAATATGAATGTCAGAAATTATACAAAAATATTTTCCAGAATTGTACAGATTAACGACAGTATCGAAACTGGATTCTATTTAATGTCTCTCTTAATATTATCACGTGTTGGTTGATATTAAATTTTGCGTCTTCACCATATTTCCCTATTTCGAAAGATTACCTTAAAAAATGTTCATAATTATGTTTGAGCAATTCTTATTGCTTCATTTAAAAATCCAAAATATGAAATATAAGATTTGTTACGTTTATCAGATCTTCACATTATATTGCAGGAAATGGAAGAGCTTGAGAAAAAACTTGGATTCCTGACGAAACGTTTCCATGAGGCAGACAGCACCACATGGAAAGGCATGTTTAAGAAGAATCCTCTCTGGTGATCCAGAGCGAAAAGAAAACATGGTAGCAACATATTATTCTTCATAATCATGATCAGTTAAACGTTTTATAAGATATAGAGGTATATAAGCTGTGATAGAGCTTGAAGGTGAAGCTGATGATACAAGACTTGGTTGTGACAGCATTAGGGTTATAACAGTAGCATATAAAACTAGGGAACAAAACACAAATGATCATTTTCACTGGTCCCTCATAGGTACTACTAGATTGGACAGAAGGTTTTCACTCAATTTGTCTTTATTCCATCATCTTTCTGTCTTTCTTATTCCTTCCATCTCCAGATTTTGTCCAGAGCACATTTTCCATACTATATATGTCACCTGAAATTACCAAATTTGGCATACAAGTACAGCTTGTAATTGTCTGATCATACAAGTACAGCTTGTAATTGTTTGGTCATACAAGTACAGCTTGTAATTGTCTGGTCATACAAGTACAGCTTGTAATTGTCTGGTCATACAAGATTGGATACAAGCAGTAATATTGTCCTCAAGTTCATATATATATATATATGTGTTGCCCTTGAATAAACCAGTGAGGAACTATGGAATGCTTTGCAATATTTGCCTTGTTTTTAAGACCCGAATCAGTGTTCAAATTTGGATGTCAAGAAACAATGGCATTGAAATTGCAGTACCTCAGACCACAAATGGATATTGATTGAGTTATTGTTCTCTTTTATCTTAAGTAGTCCTATGTAGGTCACTTACTGACAATATATCACCAGATCCTCAGAAAACAGTCAATGATATAATAGACAAGAGAGTAGGAGTTTCATAGAGCCTTCATTCATTGTCAAAGTATATAGGTTTTCATGTAAATGATGTCTCTTTGATATCTATTTTAGAAAGTTTTTGTTTTCTCATCAAAAGATGGTTGTGCCCCACCCCAAATCTGTTTAAATCCTGCATCTGGGTTGAAGTTAAGGGGAGGAAGAACAAGGAGGAGGAACTGTAATATGGTTATAACCAAATACATGTAGCAAAATTACTCTGATGGAGCAAAGTATATCAACATCTTCAAAAATTACTCTGATAATACAAATTATATTGACATCATCACAATTTTCTATACTTCTGAGCCCTAGTTGATTTGTAGTCCAAATATAACGGAATGATAGTAGAAAAATATTACATAAAACGTTGTTTCATGGCTATTAACACTCTCATATGCCTCAGTCAGAGGGCCTATTGAGTAAGCAGCCTCAGGCTGTAACTCTTACTGAACATAATAACAGGAATTTGGTTGTCATGACAATGTAATCTATATCCTAGGTATATCTTTCATGTGCTGGAGTATAGGTATGACTGGTATTGTGTTCTTTCTAGTCAGCTTAACGAATGGAAAACAAAAGATATTGCTTTAATTATTTTCACAAAAATTTGAAGTTTATAAGAAATTTATCTGAAGTAGTTGTGTGTTAAATTAACAATACGCAAATCTGGAGACAAGAAAATAAATGATAACAATGTAGTTCATAAGTAAAAAGGAGCTTTAAAACATAAAGTATTGGTAGGATAGCTGACAAAGCTTTATACTAGACAGGTTGTATAGAACATTATGCAACAGTCAGATCTCCCAAGGTGGAAACTACAAGCTCTGAATCAGTTCCAAATGCTCCCCGATCGTGTGACATCATCACTGTTGTACAGTTGGCTCTACTAGGCCGACAACCCTTTAGTGCGACCTTGTGTGACCTTGAGCAGATTTCTACGAGCTGTTGTAGATTGTAACAGGTATAGAACCTTGTGAGTCACTATAAGATATATACCTTGTCAGTGAAATGACTTTATTGATATTTCCTTTTTATCATTACACAACTGTGTACCTTATACCTTGTACTTTCGTATCAGTATAGCAGCTGTTCTATTGAGACTTTACACAAACTGTTCATTTCCACTGATAACCTAGTACTCTAGTCAGACTTTCTTAAGATTGTGTATATTTACACTCTGCCTTTCTCGTGGTGCGTATACATGTTTTGTTACAAGTGTTTAGTGTCCCTGTCCTTCAGTGTAGTATGGATTGATTTATACAACAGTAGGATTTCAGTTGAGCATTTCTAACAAAACCTTAGAATGTGATTTATAAGCCTATGGCTGTCTTTAATGTAGAATTTTAATATATAGTATGTATAATACAAAAATATAATTTGGTTTTCTTTACTAGCCAAATATATTATCTGTGCTTGGGAGATGATATGTTTAATCATAAAGATTGGATGCTAAAACAAAACTATTTCATACATTATTTTTTCAGTACATTGTATGTACTTGTCTGTGCAAAATAATCGTAGGAGATTTATTGAAAAATAATTGACAGAAACAAAGTAAAAAAGATGCCTGGTAGTACAATGAAAGTGATATAACTGTACACTAAGGCTCACATTAATGTAGATAACTGTACACTAAGTCTTACATTAATGTAGATAACTGTACACTAAGGCTCACATTAATGTAGATAACTGTACACTAATGCTCACATTAATGTGGATAACTGTACACTAAGGCTCACATTAATGTAGATAAATGTACACTAAGGCTCACATTAATGTAGATAACTGTACACTAATGCTCACATTAATGTAGATAACTGTACACTAAGGCACACATTAATGTAGATAACTGTACACTAAGGCTCACATTAATGTAGATAAATGTACACTAAGGCTCACATTAATGTAGATAACTGTACACTAATGCTCACATTAATGTAGATAACTGTACACTAAGGCTTACATTAATGTAGATAACCGTACACTAAGGCTTATATTAAAGTAGATAACTGTACACTAAGGCTTACATTAATGTAGATAACCGTACACTAAGGCTTATATTAAAGTAGATAACTGTACACTAAGGCTTACATTAATGTAGATAACTGTGCACTAAGGCTTACATTAATGTAGATAACTGTACACTAATGCTCACATTAATGTAGATAACTGTACACTAAGGCTTACATTAATTTAGATAACTGTACACGAAGGTTTACATTAATGTGGATAACTGTACACTAAGGCTCACATTAATGTAGATAACTGTACACTAAGGCTTACATTAATGTAGATAACTGTACACTCAGGCTCACATTAATGTAGATAACTGTACACTAATGCTCACATTAATGTGGATAACTGTACACTAAGGCTCACATTAATGTAGATAACTGTACACTAAGGCTCACATTAATGTAGATTACTGTACACTAAGACTCACATTAATGTAGATAACTGTACACTAAGGCTTACATTAATGTAGATAATTGTACACTAAGGCTCACAATAATGTAGATAACTGTACACTAAGGCTTGCATTAATGTAGATAACTGTACACTCAGGCTCACATTAATGTAGATAACTGTACACTAAGGCTCACATTAATGTAGATTACTTTACACTAAGACTCACATTAATGTAGATAATTGTACACTAAGGCTCACATTAATGTAGATAACTGTACACTTAGGCTTGCATTAATGTAGCTATGTTCCTGTCTCTGTGTCTAAATTTATTGTTTTGTGTCTTGCCATGCAATAGATTTATGCAATATTGGTTTTATCTTTGATGACACACACAAGTATATGCATTTGCATTTGTATAATGGAATTAGATAATGATTTAATTGTGTATGACCTCACCACCTGCGACATACAGTACATCATTGTGTAATTGGTGCACTCCTCCTCCTGCCACTCGTAACCAGTGAACAATTCTCATTTGATTAACCTGTCTGATCTGACACCCTGTGCGACACCTTATTGTTCTGACTTACCTGTCTAATCTGATGTCCTGTGGGACACCATCTTTATCTAATTACCTGTTTAGTCTGACAACCTGTGGGATACCATATTTGGCCTAGATGTCAGAGGGGTGTTCCCTGAACGCATACATATTGAGAACAATAGGTAGAAACATCAAAGGAAGGGTAATTTTAGTTTGTATCATACATGTACTACATTTACCTTAGATATTTTACCTGTAGATCTACACGTGATGTCTTATATAAACACAAATACATCATGTGATGTCTTATATAAACACATGCATCATGTTATGTCTTATATAAAAACATACACATGCATGATGTTATGTCTTATGTAAACAGATACATCATGTTCTGCCTTATATAAACACACATACATCACGTAATGTCTTATATAAACACACATACATCATGTAATGTCTTATATACACACATACATCATGTAATGTCTTATATAAACACACATACATCTTGTTATGTCTTATATAAACTTATATACACACATACATCATGTAATGTCTTATATAAACACACATACATCTTGTTATGTCTTATATAAACACATGCATCATGTTATGTCTTATGTAAACACTTACATCTTGTAATGTCTTATATAAACACATGCATCATGTTATGTCTTATGTAAACACTTACATCTTGTAATGTCTTATATAAACACACATACATCTTGTTAGGTCTTATATAAACACACATACATCATGTTAGGTCTTATATAAACACACATACATCATGTAATGTCTTATATAAAAACATACACATGCATGATGTTATGTCTTATGTAAACAGATACATCATGTTATGTCTTATATAAACACACATACATCATGTTATGTCTTACATGTATATAAACACCTGCATCATGGTATGTCTTATATAAACACACATACATCTTGTAATGTCTTATATAAACACACATACATCTTGTAATGTCTTATATAAACACATACATCTTGTTATGTCTTATATAAACACACATACATCTTGTTATGTCTTATGTAAACACATACATCATGTTATGTCTTATATATACACACATACATCTTGTTATGTCTTATATAAACACATACATCATGTAATGTCTTATATAAACACACATACATCATGTTAGGTCTTATGTAAACATACATACATCTTGTTATGTCTTATATAAACACATACATCATGTTATGTCTTATATAAACACACATACATCATGTTATGTCTTATATAAATACACATACATCTTGTTATGTCTTATATACACACATACATCATGCTATGTCTCATATAAACACATGCATCATGTTATGTCTTACATAAACACACATACATCATGTTATGTCTTATATAAACACACATACATCTTGTTATGTCTTATATAAACACACATACATCTTGTTATGTCTTATATAAACACACATACATCTTGTAATGTCTTATATAAACACACATACATCTTGTAATGTCTTATATAAACACACATACATCTTGTAATGTCTTATATAAACACTTACATCTTGTTTTGTCTTATATAAACACACATACATCTTGTAATGTCTTATATAAACACACATACATCTTGTAATGTCTTATATAAACACATGCATCATGGTATGTCTTATATAAAAACATACACATACATGATGTTATGTCTTACATAAAAACATACATCATGTTCTGTCTTATATACACAAATACATCATGGTGTGTCTTATATAAACACATACATCTTGTTATGTCTTATATAAACACACATACATCTTGTTATGTCTTATATAAATACACATCCATCTTGTTATGTCTTATATAAACACATACATCATGTTATGTCTTATATAAACACGCATACATCCTGTAATGTCTTATATAAACACACATACATCATGGTATGTCTTATATAAACACATACATCTTGTAATGTCTTATATAAATACACATCCATCTTGTTATGTCTTATATAAACACATACATCATATTATGTCTTATATAAGCACGCATACATCTTGTAATGTCTTATATAAACACATTCATCATGGTATGTCTTATAACTGTTTAAAATTCCAGCAACTTTTTTCAACAAATAACAAAGTTTTACTAGTTAAAATATGCAAATATATTAATATAATAATAGAGAGAGTCCGTTCTCCTGGTTAAAACAGCACGTACTCTATCTTGAGTGTACCCATTGTATATTTTACTTAATATCACATGTAAATTGTGGTTTAAAAGAATAAAATCTTGTCTTGTTGTCTTGTCTTGTCTATATATTATATAAACACACATACATCTTGTTATGTCTTATATAAACACATGCATATATCATGTTATGTCTTATACAAACACACATACATCTTAATTGTAATGTCTTGTATATTTGAAATATTTGAAAGTGACTTAAACTCTAGTGTTGTACTTCTGCAAGTGGACATTTAGTCCTTTTCAAACTCAAGACACTATACATTGTACAATGGCGAACTTGCCTGTGTCATTGACAGAGATCTGTGTTGTACTTACTTATTGTGTCATTGACAGAGATCTGTGTTGTACTTACTTATTGTGTCATTGACAGAGATCTGTGTTGTACTTACTTATATAATTACTTATTGTGTTATTCTTATATATATTTGTCATATTTCATGTCTGAAATGTTAGGAAATTGTCTCCTCCGAGTAAAGTATTTGTGTAAAGACTTTGTAATCTCTAACTTATTATTTTACTACAGCAATTTTATTCAATGTAAAACATTGCATTCAGAGTATATTATTAAAATACATTTATATGACTGCCATATTTGTGTTGTGTTTGACTTTTTACAAATGGTCCTAACTGACTCAAATTGTAGATGTGTTGTAAAACAATAGACGTACTAAAACAATACATGTGTGTAATGTTAGCGTACCAGATTGGGTTCCAGCAGTACTGTCATTAGATCTGTGGCTTCACCGTGTTCACTGATATGATCAGTTTCAGATTTGTATTCGTTCATAATATTGTTTTACTACTTCACCAATCCTGTTTACACTGTGAAAAGTGAAATGTAAAATGTTACTGACACTTTACAGTAATAAACTGACTAAATTATGGTGAAACCTGTCTAATCCTACACCATGTGTGGGAAACAGTTAATGTCAGTTTACACAGGATGTCAGAATACACATAGACTGGCCCCCATTTCTAAAATATAGATTTATTGATCATTTGGTTGTCTGATCCCAAGATTCAAACTAGGGGGAGATAAGCAAGTTGAAAACTGCAGCTGGAAAATTCTTTACAGGGCCGGTAGCCAGTCTAGAATACACAGGTTATTTTTCTAAATTATGATTGGGATTACATCATTACATTGGATTAAATAGGGTGCTGCAGTACTTGTGTCAGATTACATCAGTTCACTGTACAGATTTATATGAGTTTCCTACATTAATCAGATTGAAGCTAGTTATATTAAGCGATGTACCATCTGTAGCTAAACTGGTACTGCCTTTTCCTGAAGACTTTGTAGCTTGAAGGACTGCTTGGTGGACAAATAATTATTTTCAGGAACAACTCAAGGATGTGTGCTATGTTAAACATTATCCATGTGATTTACGGTAGAGTTTTCTCTGTAGTTAGTCAGAAAAAATATTTTTATCAATGCATGTGTCACAGTGCCTTTTAATAATGTCAAATGATGTNCAGCATTTTTGAAATATGATTGAATGATGCCATACGAAATTCTGTTAACTCTAATGTATTCAGTTCATACGTTATATTGCCACCAATCAGTAGGTGAAACAATTCATAGTCTGAATGAGAGTGTAAATATACGCTAAACAAAAGTTCACATGCATTAATGACTTGACACCATAACTGATCTCGTAAGTCTTCTGTACAATCACATTGTAAAACTATGTGGGTATATATATCGTTATACATTTGTCCACATTTATGACATAATTCAGTTTTTTCTGAATGTCTTAGAGATACAATCAATTTCATTATTCTACGTATGGCTTCTCTGTTTTGAGGAAATTTCATTAACAATTTCCACAATATATGAGGAGCCAAATTATCATGAACAATTATAAATCTGCAGAAATCGCGGTCACCACTACTCATTCAGTCCTTCCATGCTTTTTCTTCATATAACTGTACATTATGCTTCACTTTCGCTTTCCATGTACTTTTCACTGGAAATAATCCATTTGATAAACATTCTTGTACTAATTTGTATAAATCATATTTCTTTAGAACTCTAATTACTTCATTCAAAAAAACATTCTTATACACATTGGTCCCTATAACTGCCATAAAAAGACGAGTAAAAAACACAAGATA